CTCAGCAAGCCAAAACCGAAGAGCAGGCAAAAACAGGGTACACCAAATGGAGAGGGTTAGCCTAAATCAGCCTCAAAAGCCAAACTGGGGGAATTACAACACAACAGGAAGGGAAGGGGATGATTCGCGTCACCCTTGTGAACAAAGCCCTCTGCAAGAGCTGCCTCAGACTTCTCTAGGCTGTCAGGGAAAGAGGCCAAACCTGGATGCAGCTCTGCGCTCAGAGGGGAATCGGCAAGGCAGCTGCCCGGGGAAGGAGTTGCCAGAGGTGGGGTGCTGCCTTCACGAGTTTCCTGACCCTCCACCACCGCCTCTCCATTTGGCAACAGATCTGCTCTGACATGACCTAAAACAAAGAGAAGGGATTCAGCAAAGAGCTTTATACTTAATGGTGCACTAAGGTTTTGTTTATGTTTTACAAGCCAGTACAACATATCAATCAGCATGGATGAAATATCATGCAAAAGTAAAGGTTTTCCATTTATTTCAACTTAGTCATGTTCAACCTCACCTGTTAACCTTTTATGAACCCCATATGGACCATATACAATCACTGATTGTTGACATTGAAAAATTATTTTTATTTTATTGAAAAGTATTCAAATTAAGTAAAAATGTAATCAAATCAAATTAATTTATTTTAAAAAAATTAAATGTGTTACCAAAGAGAGCACTTTTTTACTTTATTTTTGGTAAGCATCACTAACAAACAATGAGCAATACATTTGAGACAGTATTTATAAATCTTTCTTAAAATTAGTTAATAAAAATACAACTATTCCCCGTTAGTTCATGTTAGCTCAAGCCCAATACTAATACAATTAACTTATGTTAACAAATTTAACCTTATTGCAAATTATTACAAACAATTCTGTAGAAAACATTGTCACATTTATAGGAATATTTGTCATCCGTAATTAATTTTTCCACAAAGAGAAGCGTCCATTAACAAAATAAATAGTCCACTATTAAGTTGGGCCATCTTTTCAGCTCATGCAAGTATACTTAATTTATTGCATATTTGTTAAAAGCATTATTCTTTTCTTTATAGGTAAAATGTTACTTTGTGCACTTTTAAAGTACTAACCCAAATTTGCCTGCTGATATCTATATTAAGAGGTTATGACTGGTGCTTTTTGGTCATCATGTATAACCTTTAAACGTAATTGGTGATCTGAAAGTTATCTTTTGCGCAAGTCTTGCAGAACAAGTCAAACGGCCTAATTAAGCTACAGTGAGAATTTAGGAAACTGATACTGAAAGCACGGGGAAGTTTGTGGATATATCTAGAAAAAAAACACTTCTTTATAAGGTAACAAATGGCACTGGAAGAAGTGGGAAGAAAAAACTTCTCAAAGCCAAGTGACGCAGTAAACAGCAAATGTTCACACTGAAATCTTGCCAGGTTTTGAATGAACACAACAAACAACTTTCAAGCAAAAGCTTAACAGTGAATCCAAGTATAAATCAGAAAGTACAAATGAACAGCCTCAATGTTGATTAAATCAACCATATAACTGCAACATCATCCATCAAATTTCATCTCAAAAGAACACTTACCATTAGGGATTTTCTCAATTACCAGTGATCTCTCCAGCTTCAGAGATTCTACAGTACTGCTGTCTGGATCTTTGCCGTGTTGTGCGTCCGGCTGCTGATGGTTGGCCTCAAATGAGGCTGTTTCCTTATTTCCATTTTCCATATCTCTTGCAATACAGATGCTGCTCTAGCATCCATGAACATGAGCTGGGTCTCACCAATGCAATTCACCTTTATTTCATGCTCTGTAAACTTTGGCTAAGACTGCAGGCTGGCCTGGATGGTGCAGACAGCTTCAGTCCTCGGTGATCCTGAACAACGGAAACATTAGTTTAAGTCATCCATACTGCGAGAAGAGTTCAAGATTTATTGCTCAGTTAAAGCAAAATCAGCAAAAAATATGAAAAAGATATTTCATCATTTAGTCACAATGCTGACGTACTTATGCCATTGGATGTGGCACTAGCAGTTTCATTCTTACTTTGTCTATTGTTTCTATGAAGTTCCCCTCATGAAACCACAAATCTCTATCCTGCAAAGATAAAAAGAAGAACCTTTATTTTTGACAGTTGACATACCATCTAAGCCACACCACCTCATTTTTGGGGGGTGGGGGGGGGGAGCAATTCACCAACTTTAAAACTTTTAACTAAGTAGTTCAAATGGAAGTGGTTTAAATTAGGGATGCGCCGATCCGATATTCATATCGGGTATCGGCTCCGATAGTGCCATTTTTCTCGGATCGGGTATCGTCAGATTGAGTCGATCCAAATGGTGTTTGATTGTGTAAATTATTCTGTGTTGCCTCTGAAGCCATACGATAGCTTAATGTGAGCTACATATGAATATTTAAGTCCTTACATTAAAGTTCACACAAACTCTTTTCTCCGCTGTGGCTGTCAGTCATTCGTTCAGACTTTAGCGTTTGGTTACAGCAGTCAGCTCGGTAAAGCTCTCTCCAAGATCATTCTGTGTTCCCATTATACTTGATTTGTAAATGCATGTCTATGATTTTGCAAAAAGGACTTTATCTTCTTGCCGGAGTTTAATGTTTTGTTACTTGCTATCGGGTAACTGAAATTAAAAACTGTTAAAAGAAAGGCTCAATAACTGTTACACAGATATAATACAATACGCATTCATTTCTCTTCCCTTTGTGCTTTGCAGTTTTTAACACGAAGCGCTTACAATGTGCTTTGTGCTCATAGACTGTCAACCCTCTATATTGCGAGTAAATCACTTGCATATGCGACTAAATCTTCACTCTGGGTGACTAAATGATGTCTAATATTAGCCAATGGCTAATCAATTCTCAGATTTTACTCGCCAGTGTGTGAGTTGGAGGCTGAGTATATGATTAGCACAGATATATTTTCACTCACAGAACACTCTGACTGAGCGCTTCAGTTTCACTCTCCGTCAAGCGATCTCTGCTATTTTTTAGTTCATTTGAATGAATGCGCAACGCACCTGTGTTTGTGTATTTGGCGTAACGTAAACTCTAGTGTGAAGGCGCACGACTTGCCGTCGCTTTCTCTCACTGAGAGCAAAGAGCGAGCCAGAGTCTTACCTAACATGCAGAATTGATGCGCTACATGTAAACGATATACTTTGTTGCATTTTCCTGTAAAAATAACAGTTCCTTTGGAATTCTTCAGCTTTTAAGAACTGCTGGGTTTTCCTGTAGTAGGCTGAACTAATGCGCAAATGACAATCTCATTGCTCATCATCCCTGTTTTGATTTCAGCGAATCAGTTCGAGCAAACGCACACAACCTGATTAATATTCATGAATCCAGTAGCTCATTAATCCTTAGTGCGTTTTTATATTGTTCTTATTAGTAGAATTCGTATAATAATAATAATAATAATATCTTATCAGTATTATTGATCGTTTTATTTTTACAGGAACACTGAATAAACAAAAAAAGCACCAGCACCAGTCCTAAATTCATGGTTACCAAGTTTTAATTCTAATTACTAAACTTCTATTATTAAATAATACTTCATTGTCATATTATAATGCTTGACTGACTGATATTAATAATAGTCCACTGATTCTTGAGACATGGGACAAAACATGTTCCGCAACTGTACCTGCCATTAGCACTCAAAACAGCAATTTTGAAACGATTCCAGGATGATGACTAGAATGTTCTGATTCGGATTATTCAGATTTTCTCTTCATTTACTGAAATTATGACATTACATTATCATTCACTCCATCTTAAACCACCTGTCCTCGAACCATAACTTAATACTTCATGTAGATTAAAAATACATTTTAAATAAGAAAAAAAAAAGTTACAGTGGGTACGGAAAGTATTCAGACCCCCTTAAATTTTTCACTCTTTGTTATATTGCAGCCATTTGCTAAAATCATTTAATGATATGCAAAATATGTTTTAGTCAACACCGTTATCCATCAACACTTTATGAAGTCAGCACTTAGGTTTTCAGTCTTACTATTAATGAAATAAATTCTGAACTAGAAATCCGCTTTCAATTCATTCTGTAGACTCCATTCATTCACTGAAGTGCATGCTTTATTTGGTCATTTTGAAATAGGTGACAGGTGGTGAGGACTCATACTGAGCTATAGGCCAGAGCAAAACAGTTGTGTGAGAAACTGGAAGAAGTAGGATATTGAACAATTCTTTCTTATACAAACTTTTATCAGTACTGTACTTTATTTTGTTCTAGTATTTAGAAATCAGTCAGTTGTTATAGCTTAATGTCATGATAGACTAGTAACTGACAAGACATGATATTGTTTTTTTGCTTCTTGCACAATGTAACACATCAGTGTGGTGGAGTAATACGGTTTCTGTGTCACTCAATGCTGGATGATTAGACTGACCATCAACACGAGTCTAACTATAGCTGAATGTCAGATTGTGGATGCGCTCTTCCCATAACAACGCACTGAAACACAGCAACTAAACACAAAGAATTCACAACGTTTTATTATAATAATGTTCTCATTAGAATGTTATATACATGACATTCCCAATCATAGTTATTAATGTTGTGCACTGCTGTTTGAGCTGCGTGCGCTGAGCTAAAGATGATCACCGGTAAACTGAAGCGCTCTTTTAACTTAACCAAACGCATTCTATATGAGATAAATCAGATATACATCAAATAAACACAATATTACAACGTACAATTGCACAAAAGGCTGCAAACGAACAGCGCGCATCTGAAGTGTCTCTGAAGGAAATAATGCATTATTTATCGGCTTTAAGATATCGGCCAAATTTTCTTATCAGGCCGATACCGATAACAGAAAAAATGAGCATTTATCGGCCGATACCGATATGGTGGCCGATATATCGTGCATCCCTAAAAAAATATGTCTGAGAAGATACGGTCACCTCCCAAATGAATGGCAAGGCAGTTTGTAATGTTCTTCCTGTTACTGTCGCAGACATAAAAAGTCTAAGGCTGGAGGTGTCAGTCTTAAACAGAGTGAGTCTGCATGGTGACATGGTAGAAAATTCCATCAATCTTACCTTCTAGAGATTTTCTGACCTCTTCTTTGCATTCATCAAACTTCATCTTGAACTTCTGTGCATCTACAAGACAAAGGAAACCAGTACGTTGGTTACACGAATTATAAAATACAAAACCAAAAATATTTTAAAAATTCATTGTATTAATTATACTATATACTGCACAACTATTATAATTGTTGGCATGGAATGAAAATACATGTATTTTCTGAATGCATATTAACGATCTTATTGTGAACGATTCATCCATGATGTATACTTGTAATTTATGAACTTCCAGAGGTGACACATGGTGACATTGCCGGACTTCGCCAATCAATTAAATCACGCCCCTTTCTTACAAGTCTGCATTCAGATATGCCTCCAACCAAACCCCAACCAATAGACAGAACCAAGTCCACTTCCCTAATTTTTGGGAACTTCTGTTTCACTCAGAAGAAAAGATTTAGCGCTACTTCCGTTTCATCAAGGCTTTAAAAACTAACTTTTTTATATTTTGTTAACCTTCAATTCATTTTAATGGCACATAAGCAGTTTTTCTTTCATTTTTCCTCCTCCAAAAGAAGTTTCAGTGTTAGTTTTAAATATTATAATAAAATCCTTATGAATCTTGAATGCATACAAATGAATGCATACAAAATCTTCAATTGGTCTTTGTTGTTTTTTGACAATGCGCTTTGTCATTAGGGATGCACCATTCCGATATTCATATCGGGTATCGGCTCCGATAGTGCCATTTTTCTCAGATCGGGTATCGGTCAGAGAGAGCCGATCCAAATCCGAGATTTGTTTTTTTCTTTTCCCGATTGTGTGAATTATTCCGTGTTACTTCTGAAGCCATACTATAGCTTAATGTGAGCTACATATGAATATTTAAGTCCTTACATTAAAGTTTACACAAACTCTTTTCTCCGCTGTGGCTGTCAGTCATTTGTTCAGCCTTTAAACACTGGTCGCGTTCGGTTACAGCAGTCAGTTCGGTAAAGCTCTCTCCAAGATCATTCTGTGTTCCCATTATACTTGATTTGTAAATGCATGTCTATGATTTTGCAAAAAGGACTTTATCTTCTTGCCGGAGTTTAATGTTTTGTTACTTGCTACCGGGTGTCTGTGAGAACAAAACACGGGCGTAGAAAAGACTATAAATTGTTTTTAACATGCACAGTAACTGAAATTTAAAACTGTTAAAAGAAAGGCTCAATAACTGTTGCACAGATATAATACACTACGCATCAATTTCTCTTCACTTTGTGCTTTGCAGTTTTTAACACGAAGTGCTTACAATGTATGCAATGTTCCAAAGTTACTTTGGAATTCTTCAGCTTTTAAGAACTGCCGGGTTTTCCTGTAGTAGGCGGAACTAATGTGCAAACAGCAATCTCATTGGCTGGTGCTCACCAATTATCGTCCCGGTTTTGATTTCAGCAAATCAGTTCGAGCAAACGCACACAACCTGATTAATATTCATGAATCCAGTAGCTCATTAATCCTTAGTGTGCTTTTATATTGTTCTTATTAGTAGAATTCGTATAATAATAATAATATCTTATAAGTATTATTGTTAAATAATTAAATACTTGATTATCATATTATAATGCTTGACTGACTGATATTAAAAGTGTACTTTCATATATTTAAAAAGCTGTACCATTTTACAAACATTATATATGTTTGTAAAATGGCATAACACACATATATATACATATATATTTTTATATATAATATTTCAGTCTGGCGAGTAAACAAAAAAATATACTAGCCTATGGCGATTCAATTGCCAAAGTGTCCGTTGAGGGTTGACTGTATAAAAACAGTTTGTGCTGCACTGTATTTGTTTTGTCCTATCGTATCTATCATATGCTGTTGCCTTATTAAAAAATATGCTATACATTTAAAAGAAATGTATTTTAATTTTATAGTAAATACTTATATATAAATACATTCATGAATGTTTTTAATGAATGGATTTTATAATAATACAAATAGCAATGTGTAACATTTGACCATATTTAGTGCAACACTTATTTGTTCCCCACAAAATAGTTTTTTCACCAAATTTTTGGATTTCTAAAATTATTGTGCACTGATTTTTCTAGAATAACATTTGCTGCCGAATTATCCGCTAACCTAGTTTATGATACATTTTTGTCATAGATTATAAATATACATAGGCCTATATTTTTTCATATTTGTTTATTTTCTTTTTCTTTTCTTTATAATGAAGAAGTCTGTATCTAGTAGATTGCGAAATAATGATTATCAGTTCCACACACAGAGATATATAAATTCTACATTTATTTAAATGAGGGGAAAAAAAAAACTTCACTGGTATCGGATCGGTATCGGCCAATACCGAACCCCAGGTATCAGAATCGTATCGGAGGCGAAAAAGGCGGATCGGAGCATTCCTATTTGTCATTGCTTCAACACCTAGCAATAAACTGAATGAATGACTTCAAAATAAACAACGAGATCCCTGAGATTTGGTCTAGAGCCTATGTTCATTTATACTCACTCTCTGCATTGAGGAATCGAATAGCCAGCAGCTCTGGTTTGGGTTTTTCATCTGCAAAGTCAGCATGTGTATTCCACACCCAGGCCCTGTCACTGCCTGCATTGGGCTTCAGCTCCATCAACGGCATAACTAGAGCAAAATATTTCGATAAATCAGTTAAAGCCATTACATGATTGGAAAATAATTAACAGAAACTGAACAGATAAACCGCTGCACTCACTGTTATGGTTGGCACAGATTTTAAGGGTGCGGTCTCTTCTCATGAGAAGGCGGATGGAACCCTTCTCCGAGTGTCGCAGGAGTTTGACATCACCCGTCCCACGCTCCTTCCACTCAGGGGGATCGTTCTCACTGGCAAAACGATACAGCTTTGCCCTCCTACACGAAAATCATGTTGAATTTGAATGTCACCAGTCAAATACATTTCAGATTATATTAAAAACAGAACCCATGATGATCAATTAAAATATTTGTTCTTTAGCAGGACTGAACAGTAAGGACTGCCTGATGGCCCAGGGCCAGCGTGAAAGAAGCTCAGGAGAGTTGAAGGAATTGTCACCGTGCCATCACGAAAGTTTATCATTTGCTCTTTAAGTAACTTTTAAAATTACTCAAGAATTGTGTGAAAGAACTCAAATCGGTACTGAACTGAGGACTCTTTTACTTATCATGCTTGAATGGACAAACTGCACACAAAGTTGTCAATATGCCCATATTTTTGAGTGTCCTCCTCATACATGCAGTCGATTATGTCTTAAGTAAATGTAAACAGTAAGGAGATAATCAGATGTATCAGTATCAGATCTGTACTTTCTCTTAAAGTGACAGCTGTCAAATATACCGGCTGTGGTCTGGGTCCTCAATGTTAAAGGGCACCCTATTATGCCTCTTTTTACTAGATGTAATATAAGTCTCAGAAGTCCCCAGAATGTGTCTGTGAAGTTTCAGCTCAAAATACCTCACAGATCATTATATCATTTTGAAAATGCCTATTTTGAGTGGAAGCAGAAACATGCTGTTTTATTGCTGTATGCCTGTATTAAATGCAAATCAGCTGCTGCTCCCTGCCCCCTTTTCCAGAATAGGGCTGTGCTGTTGCACAGCTTTCAGTAAGCAAAAAAGTTCAGAGTGGGACAAAGTTGATATTAAAAGGAGTAATTAAAAGCCAGAAAAGATAACCTAACCTGGTAATAACGTATTGATGGAGAGGAATGCGGGCATGCAAAGTATACTTCAGGTTGCGGGTGCACGCCCAATACACACAAAAATTTTAAAATGGCTGCCTTGGGGAGTATTCACGTAACCACAACCGTTTTTTTCTAAACGGAACGTTAACAGTTGCGAGAAAATAGATTGTGTCTCAATACATTGCATTGGTGAATTAAGTCTTAGTGACAGCAGCTTGCTGTCTGCATCAATCATATTAATAATATTAAACAACAAAAGAAAAAAAAACTTCACCGATTTTGACAATAATATTTGCAGCTTTAATAAAAAAAATTTGTGTTTTAAAAATCAGTGAATATTTCATTCATACTAGGGCTGCACAATTAATCGAATTTCTAATCGCAATTACAATTATGAATGCCACAATTACGTAATCGTTCAAAGCGGCAATTAATCGTCCACTTATGTTATTCTGCGTGCTTAAAGGGGTCATATGATGCAATTTCAATTTTCCCTTTCTCTTTGGAGTGTTACAAGCTCTTGGTGCATAAAACAGATCTGTAAAGTTGCAAAGACTAAAGTCTCAAATCCAAATGAACTTTCTTTATAAAAGTTAAGAGTCAGCCACGCTTACCTAAAACGACTCGTTCTAACACGCCCCCACATATCTACCTCACTATGTGGGAAGACATGCATAACTCCACCCAAATGTTCACGTAAAGAAAGAAGGCTTAACTTTTATTCTCGCTGTAGTATTGTTGCCGCCACCGCCATTTCGTGAAGACGCTGTGATTCGTTGTGAAAGCGAAACTACTTTGTTTGGCCTTCCAAAAGAGGACGATATCTGCTTCGTCATGCCTGGAGCTGATCCGTGCTGGTCACTGAGGAAATACTACAACTTTGCGCTGTGGATCGCCGGATCGGCTTTCACCGTGGACGAAGCGGAGTCCAGCTTGGAGTCGTCACACGTCCTTCCGGACGCTCCTTCGTCGAAATCCGTTCTCAAGCCCACCCGCCTCTGCTCACTCTAACCCTCCTGCCGTTCGTCACGCTAGCCACCGGCATCTGCTCACTGAGATGTAGATCACTCTGCTCACGCTCACTCTAGGCCGCCGTGTGTGACACTGTGGTTCGTTGTGAAAGCAACCTGAGGTATTCGGGCCAATCACAACACACTGGATAGCTGGCCAATCACAGCACACCTCGTTTTTTTAGAACGATGAGCTTTGTAAAAATTGACGCGTTTCAGAAAGGCGGGGCATAGAAGAGAAACAATAATAATGTACAGTATGTGGAAAAAAATTTGTTTTTTGAACCTTAAACCGCATAAACATTTCATTACACCAAATAATGTTCTTTTTAGCAGCATCATATGGCCCCTTTAAGATGTTCTCTTTCTACATTTTATCTTAAGTGATTTTATTATTTACAATTTAGTTTTAGTATAACATTATAATACCATTCATATTTTTACTTTTTTATAATTTAAAGAAGAAACCAATCCAATGTATAGTTGACATTTGAGGGTTAATACTATGGAAAAGCACTAAAAGTCTTTCAGTTAGAGTGTTTTCAGCTTGTTTATTTTCATATAAAAATGCGGCATGCAAACAATGGTATAAACATCATTCAATGGAAATTGTGATAATCAAAATTAATAAATCGCAATTACAATTTCAAGGGAATAATCGACAATTATGATTTTTGTCATAATCGTGCAGCCCTAATTCATACAGAGTTGTATTACACATTTGATTATTCAATGTCTGTAATAACTTAAAGCTTTTTAATCCGTTTCATTTGTTTTGACTGTTTACTTGTCTTCAATAACTTTCTACTTATCAGTAAGGCTACTAGTTTTTACTGCTCAAAATAAGTCTTAAAAACCAACATGAAAAAGAATTGTGATTGTGGAACCTGATCATACTCGAATAGATAGTGATATAATATTTATGCCGTATCGCCCACCCATAATTAGCATTAAGCCCTGTTTGGTAGTAGTTAAGTGACTTACATCTTGAAAAGTTCTTCCTCATCCTCCTCTAGGGTCTTGACATCCTGCTCCGGTAGCGAGACAATGGGTTCAAACTGAGGGTCATGGTTGGGGTCCTCTACATTTTCTGTGGATGCATCATGATCATCTTGTGCCTCCTGGAGGGGGAAATCATAACAGCAGCTTTTGTAAATCCAACTTAAAAAAAAAAAAAAACACATAACATAAACAAAGCCAAACTAATGTCTAATGCAGTTGGACAATGATCCAGGATGAGATCTTTTTTGGGGGAGAATTACATCACAAATTTGCTACAGCATTTGTTCTGCTGAGCTTCACAATGTCCTGATCCCCTCTGTAGGGATCCTGCTTCCACATTACTCATCAGATCAGTGGAGTGAAAGGCTGTGGGATTTGGAGGGATCATTCTCTGGAGTTTGGCCTATTGTCTTTGAATGTGCTGCTGCAACCTAACTTGAGGAGCCGTGAACTTGAACTCACGTGCTGTGATGCTGGGGAATTCATGCACTTGCAATCCACTAATCAATCACCGGTCTAACATCCACGAAGGCCTTGTAGCTTGAATTATTCAAACGCTTTACCAACTCTGGCAGCAGATCTTCTAACGTTACACATGTGAAGCTTTGAACCGTTCAACCACTTTGTTAAGTTTCGTTCAGTAAGCATTTGAAAATTACTAAGCGGTTTATTTTGCTAAACGACTGACTTCACTCAAGAACAGATACCGGATGTTTAACTTGTGTCTAAAGGCGTGAGTTATAGCGTTTTCTTCAAACTGGACAGTCAGTTAGCATCCAGGCTAGCAGAAGCTAATAAGCGGCCTAAAGGCGTCGAAGTGTTTAAATCTCCGCCTCACCCACAGTTTTGATAACATTGAGCAAAAACAGTTAAAAGACGCAAATTAACCCGGAAGGGTGTTAATAAACCGGCTATGAACTTCACATGTGCTGCAGGTTACGAAGCTAACGCTCACAGGCTAACAGTGTCTTCGCATGAGAAATTAAAACATTTAAATTATGAGCCGTAATTACTCGGAACATGCCGTGGATATTTTTATTACGGGAAAAAGCACGAATTGTCTTATGTTTAAGGAAGTGACGAACACAAATACACATACAATTATTAATTTAAAAACGTTACAGCTGCTACTGACAGTAGCGTGATTTCAAATAAACGTTGACAGGGTATAAAAACGCGATATTAAGAATATAATGTGGAAAGGTGCATTTTTAACGTCTAATATTCAAGCGCGCGACGTAGGACAAGGAAAAAAAACACCTGCTTTTCGCTGTTAAACAAGACCCTCATAAAACATCTACCGCCAACAAAACGTCCAAAATAACCGTCTCTCGCGATCCGAAAGGGTCAGATGATGAAGACGGCGGTCTTCTTACCTTTGGGTCCGCCATGGTTCTTGCAGATGTTTGAAGATTAGGGAGAGTTTCTATTCGGTTTGATCAGCGCTAGCTCGTGAGATTTCACTCCGCTACTTTCGCGCGCGCCTAACCGGAGGAGAGAGAGACGGTGACGTCAGCACACCCCGGGTTTACATTCAGCGTCTGCGCATTTGGCACTACGGTCTATGATTTGACACTGTAAAGTTTTATGGTCCTGGGACTTTTCTACGTCTCATTGACCCTCTGTAGATCACCTGCAAATGTAAATGCATTTGTAGAGCCCTGCAATGCAGAGGCATTGACCTCTATTAAAGTTTGCCCTATAAGACTGAATCTTCAGCATGTTCAGCTCTGACACTCTAACAATTTTACATTAGGCTATGTGAAAACTTATGAGATAGATTATCTATGATTTACTGAACTAGCTCTATTGAATGAATACAGAAGAATTAAGGCCCAATGCTGCACAAATTGCCTTAAAAATACATATATATATATTTTTTAATATATAAAGAAAAATGTATTGCCTTAAAAATCTAGGAAAGTGCAACTGTCTGTCTGTTATGGAGTGTTTAAACAAATGTTGTGCCTTGTGAGGCCCTAGGGCTTGGGGTGGAATACAATATATTTAGTTATTGTTCAGCAGAACAAGAAATATATTTGAAATCATGTTATACATTTTGAATTATTTAATTATTTTGATTAATTAAAAAAATAATAAAGGACACAAATTTAGTGCCTCAGAATGGCAGAGATGAAATCTAAGGCTGTTCTCTTTGTTAACCTAAACTATTTTCTAATATCTCAACAGCAAATCAGTACTGTAACAGTATCACGATAATAGGACCCCTGCTAACTATACCACCAAGTTGGACATTATTTACAAGGCAGTCTGAGATTGTATTTCTGTTCCGATCAGCAGCAGCCAAACAGATTTTCTTCAAGCCAAAGCCCGAAAAGCTAGTTTGTGTCCACAAATCTCTGAGGGGGCCGTCTGGGCTGCAGTTGAGTCCTCTTGGCATGAAACACTGGAGGTGTTTTTATTTAATCTACACAAGCTTGTATTTTAATTCGTTGTAAGTGAATATATTTTATTGACCATACACAAAATATACAGGAACAAACCTTGGCATTGCTTCTCAAGTATCCCTTGGCAAATTACGGTCAAACACTGGTTTCACCCACAAGTCGCAGAGTTTAATCAATTTTTAAAATATACATAAACAACATTTTCTGATTTTAAATACCCCAAATTCCCTCCCGTTTACTTCGTTTTTCCTCCCTCCTTCATCTCTCACTTGGCAATCTTTTCCCTAAATCCTAGCAGAGAGGGCACCTACTACCTCCACAAAAATGAAATTAAACTATTTTCTAATATCTCAACAGCAAATCAGTACTGTAACAGTATCACGATAATAGGACCCCTGCTAACTATACCACCAAGTTGGACATTATTTACAAGGAAGTCTGAGATTGTATTTCTGTTCCGATCAGCAGCAGCCAAACAGATTTTCTTCAAGCCAAAGCCCGAAAAGCTAGTTTGTGTCCACAAATCTCTGAGGGGGCCGTCTGGGCTGCAATTGAGTCCTCTTGGCATGAAACACTGGAGGTGTTTTTATTTAATCTACACAAGCTTGTATTTTAATTCGTTGTAAGTGAATATATTTTATTGACCATACACAAAATATACAGGAACAAACCTTGGCATTGCTTCTCAAGTATCCCTTGGCAAATTACGGTCAAACACTGGTTTCACCCACAAGTCGCAGAGTTTAATCAATTTTTAAAATATACATAAACAACATTTTCTGATTTTAAATACCCCAAATTCCCTCCCGTTTACTTCGTTTTTCCTCCCTCCTTCATCTCTCACTTGGCAATCTTTTCCCTAAATCCTAGCAGAGAGGGCACCTACTACCTCCACAAAAATGAAATCACTCTAGTTGTGCAGCATATTGCTTTTTCTTTTTTTTTCTTCTTTTTTTAAGACATTTGCGAGCATAAATACTACCGTTTGTTTTCTGCTCTGATGTTGGACTGTTCAGAAGAAGTTGAAACGGCAATGTCCTCCAAACTGCCCTTCCAAAAAGAGAAAATGTCCAAAATAATGAGCTATTCTCCTCTTTACGACCCATGCTTTAAGAACACAATGCAGATACTAAATGGATGTACTTTCAGTCCTCTGTTCTGTTGGTGTCTTTCTTTCTAGAACTTTATTAGCCCTTCCAATGGGCAAGTGTGTATACAGGTGGTGTCCATTGTTGAAACTCCAATCTGGGCCTCAGAAGTCTCTTTTTCCATTTGCTTCGCCTCCATACATTTCTGTTGGTCTCATTCAACACCTCTTTGTACGTCCAATAAGTCCTCATTAATCGAGGAAGTCTGTATCTACTGATGGTCACCAACATTTTAGAATAGATCGGGTTGGTAGGCATGGTTACAACTGGTCCACAGTAGGCAGGTGCAGACAGAGTGAAGGGCAAAGCTTAACTGTTTAACGGCACTAGAGGAAAACTCAATTTAGTCACAAGGCATGCATGTTACACACTCAGTTCTAGAGTTTGCCCTCGAGAGTGTGATATCTGTGTGCATGTACATACATCTTGTCTGCGTATGCATGTATGAGTGCAAGTGTGTATGCGTTCAAGTGTATAGGGATCTCTTGTCTTGCAATCTTAATTAATTGAGTCCTTCTGCCCCACTGCAGCAGGGCATGACGATCTCACACTCTGGGGGAGTATTTGGGGTTTCTTGGCACCTCGGTGAAAGATTTCAGCTCGTAAGGAATCCCAGTGTCCACCTCGATGGACTTGCGGGAGAATAGCAGCCGGATATCATTGTGCAAGTAGATTTTCCCAGATTTGGAACTCTGGAATCTGACATATGTAAACAAAGAGGAGAGGGAAAAACGGGTTTGTTGGGATTCATTGGTTCTATTTTGAATATACCACTTAGAAGAGACGTACTTTTATGATTATTTTAAAACAGAATATATTAAACATAGTTATTTAGTCTTTTAAGTTAGTTGCAAACTAGCCTAAAATCACACACTTGGGGATATAGAATTAAAAGAAAACTGATCAATTTGTAACTATATGAGAGCAATAGTGGTAGTACAACAGTTTGTACTCATTATACATACATGTGATGTTGAAGTGTTGCGGTCCCATCTTTTTCTTCTAAATTAACAAAACTGGCTTATGTCTAAGAGAACTACACTGTGTTTACAAATTTGGGGTCAAATTATTATTATTATTATTTAAAAACAAATACTTTAATGAATACTTTTTTAAATACTTTTATTCAGCAAGAATGCAATAAATTGATCAAAAGTGGCACTAAAGACTTTTACAGTGTTACAAAAAACGATTCAAATGAATGTTGTTCATGTGAACTTTCTATATGTGACCCTGGAGCACAAAACCAGTCTTAAGTCTCTGGGGTATATTTGTAACAACTGCCAAAAATACATCGTATGGGTCAAAATTATAGATTTTTCTTTTATGCCAAAAATCATTAGGACATTAACTAAAGATCATGTTCCATGAAGATATTTTGTAAATTTCCTACTGTAAATATATCAAAACTTAATTTTTGATCAGTAATATGCATTGCTAGGAACTTCATTTGGACAACTCAATATTTTTATTTTTTTGCACCCTCAGATTCCAGATTTTCAAATAGATGCATCTCGGCCAAATATCGTCCTATCATACCAAACCATACATCAATGGAAAGCATATTTATTCAGCTTTCAGATGATGTATAAATCTCAATTTTGAAAAATTTACCCTTATGACTGGTTTTGTGATCCATGGTCACATATATCAAAGAATCCTGAAAAATCATAGTTTCCCCAAAAATGTTAAGAAATGTATTTCTAAAAGATTATGTGATACTGAAGACTGTTGTAATGGCTGCTGAAAATTCAGCTTTGCCATCATAGGAATAAATTGCATTGAAAAAAATATATTAAAGGGGTCATAAGATACGATTAAAATTTTTCCTTTCTCTTTGGAGTGTTACAAGCTCTTGGTGCATAAAGAATATCTGTAAAGTTGCAAAGACTAAAGTCTCAAATCCAAAGAGATATTCTTTATAAAAGTTAAGAGTCAGCCACGCCTACCTAAAAGGGCTCGTTCTAACACGCCCCCACATACCTACGTCACAATGTGGGAAGATTTGCATAACGCCGCCCAAATGTTCACGCAAAGAAAGAAGGCGTAACTTTGATTCTCGCTGTAGTATTGTTGTTGCCGTGTGTTTCATTGTGAAAGCGAAACTACTTTGTTTGGCCTTCCAAAAGAGGACGATATCCGCTTTGTCATGCCTAGAGCTGATCCGTGCTGGTTGCTGAGGAAATACATCAACTTCTCACTGTGGATCGCCGGATCGGCTTTCACCGTGGACGAAGTGGAGTCCAGCCCGGGGTCGTCACATGTGGTTGCCGCAAGCCCACCGGACGCTCCTTCGTCGAATCCGCCGGCCGCCGCTTACTCTAGACTACAATGCGGGCTGTTCTGACTCACAGACTGCAAGTACGTTTTTCATATTTAAAGGATTTGCCACTGACTATTCAAACGCGAGTTTTGGGCAGTGTAGAGTAGCCTTGATGTTTGTAATTTCTCCGATCACAAATGAAGACATGGTTTTATGTTCACATGGCGCGATGCAACGCAACGCATAAAAAGACAGTATAAATCATTATAATCTGTAATTATGTCCCCACTGGATGCAACAAATGCCTCGTTTCTAATGGGTTTTAATGTTTTTGTCTCGTCGCTCCGGCCGGACACGGCATCATTGTATGGTAAGGGGCGTAACATTTCCGTCACACGCTTGAGGTATTCGACCAATCACAACGCACTGGATAGCTAGCCAATCACAGCACACCTCGCTTTTCAGACCGATGAGCTTTGCAAAAATCGACACGTTTCAGAAAGGCAGGGCATAGAGGAGAAACAATAATGTACAGTATGTGGAAAATAATGTGTTTTTTGAACATTAAACCGCATAAACACATTTCATTACACCAAATACTGTTCTTTTTAGCAGCATCATATGACCCCTTTAAAACAGAAAACTTATTTTAAAACAGTAATAATATTTCAAAATATTATTATTTTGATCAAATAATTACAGCTTTGGTAAGTGTAAGAGGTTTCTTAAAAAGAAAAAAAAAGTAGTGTACATCCTGTCAAAGTTTACCTGAGGTGTATCAAGTAGCAGAGAATCTTCTTCCTGTCAGACAAGGAGCCCTCCTGCCCCTCCCTTGACCCCTCCGCCTCATCAACAGGCACCAGGAAGATACGATGGCGCAAGAAGGTCATGTGATTAACGGGCATGTCCCCAAAATTATACGTCACCAAAAACATTTTAACCACAGTCTTATTAGGGTTAAATAAGGTCTGCAAAAAATAAAACAAACAAAAAAGACAGTTCAAACAAAGGATCAAAAAAGTTATAAAAATTTTTTAAAAATTTTAAAGTTAAAAAATATTGAAAAAATATATAAATAAAATGGAAAGAAATAGAAAGAGAGCCCACCACTTGAATGGTCCCTGCTTTGGGTACGCTGTATCCTTTTTTCCCAAGTGGTTCTAGCAAGATCACCCCCTAAACATTGCAAAGAAATATGACAGTTAATATGCATTTTACAAAAGAGAATTTACATGTCAATGATGGGTAAAAAAAATCTCAATAGATTTAGAAAAATAAAAAAAGTACTGAGAATTCTGTACTGTAATAGGCCAGATGAATTCAACACACAGAGGCAGTAAGTATATACCAGGAAGGGAGAAGGGGCGCTGTGCTCGGAGGTGTCATAATACGTCACTTGCACAGGTAAGGTGGCATGCTGCGGGCAATATGAGCCGCTAGCACCGATCTCTGCTGTAAAGCCCTCTATCTGCCCAGATGGAGTAAAGCGACCCTTCAGAATCGACTCCTGCAGACAGATGCACACAACAACCGATCAAAAATGCATCAAAACATTTGTCACTGTTGATTAAGGCTGGAATAAATTACACAACTTTTAAAATATGAATACATTTTAAAACACTAGTCATCATACAACTGCAGACTTCATATATTGTTACAAAGGAAAAACTGGGCATCATAACAACACAAATGTGTGAAGTTGTTTAAGACATGCTTTTTTGTGCATTAAATGATGACGCAAGTATCAGTAAACTGACTACCAAAACTTAGCATTTTGCATGTTTTCTTTAAATACTCACTCCCATAAATATTGCGCCTGAAAGGGAAATTCCGACAAATACATAAGCAATAAGGTCAGCCACAAAAATAACTGTGTCCACGCCTTTTCATCGGTAATGTTTCACTGCGTTTCTTTAGTAAATCCTGACAGCAGGGTGTGTGCAGACGCAAGCTGTTAGTAAATCTGGCCATAGATTAAATTAAATAAAAATCTAAATCTGTGCTCATAATACACTATGAGATTTCCTGTAAACTGCGTCAACTCCAACTGCCTAAAATCTGCAGACTTCCACTGACTTTCAGGAACTAGCACTGACACCGTCTCTTAGTCACATTTAATCTCTTTTTTAATTTGTATACCATGGTTTTATTGGCTTCAATGACAAACAGTATAGAAATATATATATATAAAACAGGTGTTGTGTGTTAATCTATATTAATTTAGAATTTTTTTTCTTCATGGCTTGGACTTGTGTACCTCAAAGTTGCCAAGAAGAGGTCTGCTAATGGAGGATAAAGAGGAAATTGAACTACAGGAGCGACTGGTGTCTGTTCGGCGTCCACTGCGTAACTGTCGACTATTAAAACAAAAAAGTAACATACACACATTCTTATATATTAACACGAAGTAATTTGAAACAAAAGAAAAAAAAAAAAAGAAAGAAAAGGATGACTTACGATTTGAGTCGACTCCCCACTTTGAGCCTTCTCCCTGATACTGTAGCAGTCTGAAAAATTAAGTTTGAAAAATATGTTACAACTAATACTGTGTTTTATTCCAATAAGACTTATGTCAGTAAATAACCTCGAAATATTTACTGAGTTAAGGTCCATTTTATGATCATGTAAAACCAGACTGTTGATAAACGTTTAAACTAGATTTTAATCTCCTTAACAGGAATGACAATCAGAAAAGTGTTTGAATGATTGGAAAAATTATTTTAAAAAGAAAAAGAAGGCCCATTATGACATCAGACTTAGAATGCTGAACAATTTAAAGTTGATTTCAAATTTTCAAACTTCAATTAAGATTTTAAGTACTTACAGAAGATGTGGCTGCAATATCACACATATCACAGTAGTCCATAGTATCATTCTGATAAGTTATTAAATATCAGCTAGACTTAACTATAGAATGCATATCAAACGTGTACATTTTCAGCTAGTCTGAACCTTTATTTCAGTCTATCTATTTGTTTCTCTATTCTAAACCTCCATTCGCTCTTTCCTTTTTGTGATAGTCTCTTCGCTGGCCTGTTTCTATGATCATTTCTCTGTCCTTCACTTTCTCTTTTATTCTTCCCTTCTTGGCCTTTCTTCAGTCCTGAGCTCAGCTTTCGAGCACCGCTGTGATGCACGTACAATGACAGTATATGAGCTTCTGTAGTCCATGTAACCCCTCACCAAAATTCACTCTTTCTGGAACTGAATTTGGCCAGAACCTGTATGTGTGTATTTGTTAGGTCAGGTGAGGCAGGTCTCACCTCTTGAACAATGGCTCTGTCAATGGGCTTTGTTCTGGAGTCCCAATGCGTATTGTGCTGCAATGGAAAATTAAGCATGCATATTCTAAAATCTCTCACTTTCTCACTCCCAATATGTCTTTTGTTTCCATCTGACTATCCACCTTTCATCATGACTCTGTCAGTAATGGGAGATTATCTCTGCCCCTTCACACTTAAACCAAGAAAAGTTTTGTTCTTAAACTAATAAGCACCTTCCCATTTCCACTTGTAATCGTTCATAATGTGGAAAAATCTGGCATATTTTTACCCCTGAATTAAGGCCCTATCACATGACTCACATTCAATGCATCTCTCACATGCCGCTTTGATCATTACATGAAAAGCATTGCAAATAGTCACAAAAGGCTGATTTTACTATTTATTAAATTAAAGTGAATTTCTAATGTGTATTATAATAATAAAAATGTGCATAATATGATTTCACTCTCTGAAAACATTTTGTTTTCCATCTTGTTGAAGAGTTGAGTTGAAGACTTTGAGATTTGCATTACTAGATCCCCTCCCCCAGGGGGAGTCTTCAAGGTTAGATAAAAAAATGCATTATTTGGCAGGATCCCAAATGGGAGACCAGAGGCTGTTTTGTTTGAAGTCAATGGAGGAGAGGGCCACAGTATGGTGAATGAACTGGTTGTGAATAGAAAAATATATAGATATGTAATAATCTTCAGCATGTCTGCCATATGATATATATCCTTACTGTATGCCAAACTTTTGAACAGAATTGCAAACAGGATTCATTTATGGCACCACAAATTAGTTTTTATGCTTGTTGCCAGTGGTACTCATTCCTAATTTGTTTATTGTATGGGTATTTGTATAACTGGTTCACGGGGCTGGCTGTTAAAATGTTAAGTTTGTACAGTATCTCTAGCTGCATTATGTCGTCATGTGAAAGGGCCTTCAGTTTCATTTCTACTTTATTTGCGTTTCACCTTGGTGTGCTCCCTTGCTGAGGGTAGTAGATGGTTCCAGAAGGGTGCACCCTTGGCATCAGTGCTGCGACAGGATGCTAATCCGAGCCCCGGTGCCAGCATTGCTAATCGACTTCGTTTTGATGTAGATGGACCCTCATCTTCTGAGCAGGACTCTCCTGTATCACTGGAGGAGAGAAGTCTTTTCTTCACTGGGCAGGAATTGGGTGATCCTGATGTCAGGCCATTTGCTTCCACTGGTGTTTTCTCAAGAGAGCTCAGTCCGTTAGAGGAGGAGGAGGTCTTCATCTCTGATGGTGGAGGAGAAGATTCAAAAGTTTCCCGCCATTCAACAGCTTCAGCTGGTGTTGAAAATGGGACAGGTGCCCAACTCTCTGTGGGGCACAACATGACCTTGATGTCGACAGAGTTATGGCCTTCGTCCCGTGGTCCTTCGCTGGAGCCAGCCAGGACATTTCCTGCTGTGGAGGCCTCGGTTCTGGGAGTAAGGGTAGGAAGACTCCCTTCACAGTGGCCCCAGGTGGAGTGAGGGCCCTGTGGATCCACCATAGGGGGAGATTTTGGGGACAGCGGGGCGAAGGCATCTGGGATGGGTCTGTCATGGTTGTGCTGGGCTGGACGGCGACCAGGAATCAGTAGATGCGAAGGGGAAAGGGGAGGCGACCTAGGGATTTCTGAGTCTCTGTGCTCAAGGAGCGAGTTGGAAAAAAGCGGTTCCACCCCAGACCCACATAGCACCTTCCCATTGGACTCATCATCATCGTCATCCTCATCCTGTTGGAAAAGACGCTTGTGAGTGACAGGTACCGATGTCCCCTCCAGGCTACGTTTCATACCTACTCGAATAGGCCGAAGAGACTCTTGATTTTCACCAAAACCACCTCTTTGGGAGAGGATGGATAGCTGGTAGACCTTTTGTAGCCTGATCTCTTCTTCTCCAAAAGGTCTGGAAACGACTTGCCGTATTTCAGATTCAGGGCTCTCGCTCCGAGCGCTAGGCAGAGGTAGATCCCCGTCCTGGGCTGGAAGCTCAACGGCTGGCTCTTTACGAGCCAGTTCCACGTGGATGTGACGCATAGTGACTTTATTTGTGCTGGGTGATTGTTTCAGGGGCAGTTGTGCAGTGTTAAATAATAAAGACAAGCTCCAGAGAGTTCCAGAATGTCTAAACAAGTGCAACAAGGCTGTGAAAGTGAAAGTAAGCTTCCCGTCTCATAGATGGAAGGCTTTAGTCTCCAGGGGTCAGTTGTGGAGTTAGGACAAGCTGATTTCCACAGTGCGTACAGCTTCTGAAGTAAAACAAACAGGGATACAAGTATAAGCAAATTGATATGAAATGCATAATAAAGATTACACAGCAGAATAGTAACAACGAACACTATTTAAATATGTGTATCTTTAACAATACATTGTCATTTAGACAAAATTCGCTTTATTTTGATATGGACATCAATAAAGCTCATGCATAATTAATATATAAACGTCATATGATAAAAAATACAATAAACATCATAAAAACATATTACAAGTTACATCAGTATGCAAGACAGATCTTGATTTAGTAACCTCTCCGATCGATTCAGTGCAGTGAAGGATTTGTCAGATTCAAATCACAAACTCATCTTTTTGAACAACCACAAAAAAATGGTTAATCAATTCAGGAATCAGACTACACTGTTTGTGCTATATGTTTTTGATTCACTAACACATAGTGGTAACACAGATTAATTCCTCAGGAAATGAGACCATAAAAGTCACATTGTATGTTTTTGATTTAGTAAAAAAACGGGCTCTTAAGAGTCATTCATTCAGGAATCAGACTACATTGGTTGCACTGGATATTATTGATCCCCCAAAAAGAAGAATAAACATATTACAAGTTATATCAGTATGCAAGACAGATCTTGATTTAGTAACCTCTCCGATCCATTCAGTGCAGTGAAGGATTTGTCAGATTCAAATCACAAACTCATCTTTATGAACAACCACAAAAAAATGGTTAATCAATTCAGGAATCAGACTACACTGTTTGTGCTATATGTTTTTGATTCACTAACACATACCATAAGATTAATTCCTCAGGAAATGAGACCATAAAAGTCACATTGTATGTTTTTGATTTAGTAAAAAAACTGGCTCTTAAGAGTCATTCATTCAGGAATCAGACTACATTGGTTGCACTGGATATTATTGACCTTTCCCCAGAGTTCCTATCCCTTTAAGGCCAAATGTAGGCCATTATTTTGTTATTACAATGTTGTCTCGTGATCATTTATCTGAATGGTCAAGCTGTT